TTGATTGCTCTATAGTGATCAATGTAGATGAATGATGAGCGGCTGCGCTCATTGGAATGCATCAAAGAAAAATGCTATATCTCCTCAGCTAAGCAAAATCGCTCGGCAAAATATATGTTTTTCTGAATGTAGTGATCCAGCTGAATCGAATAGTGCAAAAAAATTCATATGTTACTGGGCAAACTTGAGAAGATGGTAGGCTTCAACATGGCACCCCTATATTGAATGATAGCACTGTTGGAAGATGTAATTGCAGATTGCGTATGCATACTTTCTGGTGTACGCACCACGAGCAGATCGTTCAGTGTTCTTCGGACGATTCATTTCAGCCTTAATGATTCTGACTTCACATCTTTTCACTACCTACCGTCTGTATGAAACGAATGCACGTGGTGTTCGACTCAACCATCAAGTAGTTTTTAAATATCTTTTATTATCGTTTCTCTTTTTCAGTTTTAAATGTTTCTGACAGGCGATCTTTTGAATGATATCGGTATGTTTTATCTTATATAGTTCTTGACGATAACGACTGATTAGGACGATCGCGTAGCCCGAAGGTGACTGTATACCCTTCCGTCGTTTCGGCGCTATTTCGTTTAACCAGAATCAATTCAAGGCACTGAGTGTTTCACGTAGAGTAATTGCGAATTATGCTCTATATCAAAAACGGATTCGTTTTGAATTAATACATCGAGTAAGACGACAAGCTTACGTCTAATGTAATCAAAATCGAACGATGTTTGTACCGAAAATAGTCACTTTGATTGTTGATGATTAATTTAAGTTCCTATTCGTATCGCTGGCAGTCTACGGTGTTTGGTTGGCTGCAGAGCTGTGGCAGTTCATTTTCGACAAGAGTGGTTATAATGAGGAAATAGATGCGATGTGTCAGCGTACACGACGTTGGGTGGAAACCAGAGATACGCGTTCAACTGACAATCTTCTCTTCTTCGATTCTGCCTTCATCGCCTCAAATGCATTCCTACATTTTGCGTTTCCACATCAGATCCTCAAAACTACGGTTCGTCCAGTCAGTCACTGCTATCTTTCAACCTAGAATCGCCTACGGAGCATCATTCTACGAAGAGTTTGGAATTGAGTTTGTGGATATTATCCGATCATTTATCACTGCATAAGAAGTAATAACGAATGAAACCAACAGATCACTATTGATAATAAAACTTCTAAATTGTCATTCAGATCAAATCCGAATACGCTCTCGATGCTGTACATTTGATGTTGGCTCGTCAATACGGTGCGTATTTGATCGCATTTGCATTCGTTTCGGTTCTTGCCGTGCATTTCACACTGAAGAATCAACGCATTTACGTGCTCTCGAGAATTATCGTAAGTTTTCATCGTTATTCCCAAAGTTTCAAGAAGTACGTTCCAAAATTTAATTCGCTTCGGTATTGCCAAATGCGAGATCATATTCCGATTGTTGGAACGTTTCTTTCAAACTTCCTCGCATTCTTCAAAGGTGTATGACTTCACGACAATCTCATCTACGATACTTTCAGCAAATCACTCAAAATCGTTGTTGTGCTCGATTGATACCTTGATAAGTTAGTGGAATAATAAGAATGATTTCAGTTTCGGTTTTCATCGAAACCTCACGGCTTTATTCGTGGCTGAATTACTGTACGATGATAGGATTCACACAGTAGTAGTATTGATATATGATAGCTTAATATCGACAGTAATAAGCATAAGCGATCATAGCATTCAATATGATCATAACAATGTCCAGCTTATTGCTCTTGATGCAATATTTGTTTAGATGCAAATGAGCATGGTCGTTCTGAACGTTTTGGGTCATTGGAGTGATTCCGTATATCATACACAACACATCATACCGTTCATGATATCAGCATTCTATATCACCTTCCTCATATCGTTGTTCTATCGTTTACAACGTATTGACGATCGTGCGTGGAACGGCGAAAAGATAACCATCACCAGAAGAATGAAATCACCATCAATGGAAGGAAGACATGAGAAAAAAGTGTAAATTACCCGAACCAATATGCAAAAATTTTGGCTTGAATTTGCTATTTCTGGAAAAATTATCAAGTTCGGATCGCTCTTCCCGAAAAACTTGTAAAAGAGATTCCACTGAATATTTCTGGCAAAACTGACTTTTTACTGTACATTGATTGTAGAAAAAACCATGTAATGCATGAGCTGTCATGGTTATTGTATATATTGTTTGCACTTTGTCCTATATTCACATCTCATAACCCTGTCCTTTTGTTGGACGCATTCAAGCCATCATTATCCATTCAACTATCAATCATTATTCATCCAATATTCGATTCGAGTTAAATGAAACTTCCGTATAGGTGTAATTTGTATATTTGCAATTATAAGCGCATGTGTACGTTCAGTTTGCATCGACTCCTTTGCAATTCCATATTTTTGCAGATGTAGTTTCGTTGTATTTCGTCCACTACTTTATTACTTCACTACCATTTCCATCAGTATTTGGTGTTACTGTTTATTACTTCTGGCAACATATTACTCAAATGGATACCTCCGTTTCATAAACTGCTTCTTACATGTGATATTCACCTTCTTTCAAGAAATTTCATTCACCTTATTCATCCATCTTATTGTCAAATGATCTCTCATCTCGTCGTTTGATACGACGACTACAAATAATTATGCAAATTGATTATTGCATCAACTTTCTGTATGATCCCATCTTTTGTTGTATTATTTTGTCGCATATATTGAACAATATGGCATATTTGTGCATCACGCTATTGCTAAACTTTTACATTTATTCAATTTCATCATGTATTCAATGAATTTTGTAGAATATTCTTTGTAATCTAATCAGCCAGTGGCCAAATAATTTGACTTTCGTTTTTATTGTATCACAATCGTTCCTCATGTTTAAGTTTTCGATAAACTTGTCCATACAACAGATATGGTCACCTAAACTCCGCACTCAAACGAGTTGCACCATGT